TACCTGATGTTTTTTTTGTATGATAAATCACGATTGACAGGTATAACTTTTGACTATCAGTATAATTTATATACCTACTAAGTTGCTGCTAATTAATATAAAATAATTGCTAAAATAATTTATTGATTTTTTCAATGAAATATTTTTTGCTGCTATTTCTATCATTCTAACTCGAAAACGTAAAACTGACACCTTTATTTTACGGTACAAAAAAAAACAGATTACTCGATTTCTATAAGCAAAGAAAACCTGTCAAAATATATCTTTCCGTATATAAGAAATTTCTACTTTTCGGTTTTATATTGAGTTTTTTTTTTATTCGTTAGATAATAAAAATAAATATTCAAATACTTTGTACAATCGCATACCACTTACATACATACATACATAGTCTCTAAAATAAATATATAAACACTTATACTAAGCAAAGAGAAAGTCGAAATTAATCCTAATAAAATTAAATAGTTTTCCAAATTAAGTATAATCTTTCCGCAAATTTTTGGTCTAAGACCTAGCGTATTGATCAAAATGCATAGAAAATATTTTTTAGTGACAGTTATATAATCAGCTTTAAGGGGAAACCCCCTCTAATTTTTAAATCAATTTTTACAAAAAAAATATTTGTCAAATCAATAGCATATATAAAAAAAATAAGAAAAAAGTATTAAAAAAAAAATAAAATGGTGACCTGTTGCTATGGAAACCATAAAAAAATACTAAAAAACAGGTTTCACACCGGCCAATATTGTGGGCGGGGAACAGAACAACCCTAGTTAAAATTTTTATATGGTGTTTACATAGAGTAGAAGAGTGTTTTAAGTTGAATAGAATTTTTTTTTACAAATATAAATTCAGGCATTTTGAAGCCAAAGTTCAATATTCAATAATATAGTATTAAAACAGCATAATCAGCAGGTGTAAAAAAAACAAAAAAAAACTGTTCAACTTAAAACACTCTACACCATTTAATAAACATTCACTGAAAATTTTATGAAGGGCTCTTGAATGGTTGGCGAGCAATGTTGGCCGGCGTCTTAAATACTTCATACTGAGAAAAAAGCAAATTAACATTTTTTTAATTAAATAACACCAAAATATGTAAAAAAAAACAAACAATCCTTAACTTCTTTAAATAAAAAAAAGTATTTAAAATCCTCCTGGTTCATATGTTATACATTATTTTTCCAAATTATTGTCATTTTTTTCAAGTTTTTTTGTTCTATTTAGCTGTCGTCTCAACTTATTCTTTATTCGGTATTGTACCGGAGAAATTAAAAATTGCTAAGATTATACCTATTTTTAAAAATGGCGATGATACAAATATGTCCAATTATAGACCTATTTCTGTCTTACCATGTTTCACTAAATTGTTAGAACGAATTATGTATGATAGACATAACAACTATTTAACTGAGAACAATATTCTGTATAATAAACAATTTGGGTTTAAAAAAAATCATTCAACGGACCATGCAGTAGTCGATCTAATAAATTGTATCCAATGGGTTCAATAATGATTGCTATACATTAGGAGTTTTTATTGATTTGTCAAAAGCATTTGACACTGTTAATCATGATATTCTAATAAAAAAACTAGAAATGTATGGAGTATTAAACAATAACTTACAATGGTTTAAAAGTTACCTTTCAAACAGGAAACAATACATAATATATACAGAAAATGAAGAAAAAAAACATATCATAACTTGTGGTGTTCCCCAGGGATCAATCTTAGGGCCCTTATTATTCATACTGTTCATTAATGATTTGTATTTAGCATCCAAAATTCTAAACGTTATTTTGTTTGCTGATGACTCAAATCTTTTTTACTCTAACAGAAATATTAAAGATCTGTTTAGAATTTTTAATGAAGAGTTATTAAAAATAAATGAATGGATTAGTAATCCAGGATTACGAATAATAAACTTTCATTAAATGTTGGGAAAACTAAATTTATGTTGTTCCACAAACCTAGTAAAGGTGATAACCATTTTTTAAAACTACCTGATCTCTTTATGAACAAAAAAGTTATTAAAAGAGAGTCAACTATTAACTTTCTAGGAGTGATATTAGATGAAAATATATCATAGAAATATCATATTAGATCTATTGATAATAAAATCTCCAAAAATATTTCAATGCTATATAAAGTTAAACCTTTTCTTAATACGGAATCTTTAAAAATTATATATTTCTCATTTATTCATAGTTATCTTTCCTATTGTAATCTTGCATGGGCAAGTACTAATCATGGGAAGCTCAAAAAAAATAGACTTGCACTTCACAAGTAGACACTTGTGAAGTGCAAGTTATTTGCTTTGGAAGATGCAACATGAAATAATGTAGCCATTACGCTTGCCTTCATACCTGCTAAGTTTCCAGTATTTTGCCTTATAGCAATGCCAAAGAAATTTTGCAGACGATCAATAACTGCATCTATAAGACAACCACGTCCACCGAGAATTTTTCTCTCTTCTTTAAATTTCGTAGTCGTGAACCAACACGTTTCTGATAGTGTCCCACGCATTCTAACTTATTAACTTGAATGCCAGGATAAGTGTCTATGACATTAATGAAACTTTTACTGTCTCCATCTCCTAAATAATTTACATAACGCAGTTTGTACTTATCTATAGATCTTAAAAATACACGTTTTGCACCAGCGGACTCCATACCGCTTGCAGATATTTTGTAATTATTTTTACAAATGTGAGAGTTTTTCCATTGGGCATAGGCTGTAGGGTTTGTTTTTAAAGGATCTTTCTTCAAAAAGCAACCTTTGTAGAACCTGCACATTGGTTCCACATCTAAAACTTTTCCAGTGCCCATTGATAATGCAGAAAAGACACCGTTTAACGATGAAAAACCTCTTTTCTGCCAAGTACCATCACATGACAAACCAATATCAAAAACATCATCATTAGCAGCATGTTTTCGCAATTCTGCTACTGCAGCAAACATGGTATCTTCAGCAACTTTTTGTGTGACAGCACCTATTTTCACAGCTAATTTATCATAATTATTTTGTGTCATTGGTTGTGGCATATTCATTAAAGTAGTAAATTTTTCTATACCAGAATGTCCCTGTCCAAGTGAACGCATTGCGTATACTGTTCTACAATTAATATCATATGCTCTGTTACATTGTTTTGAAGTATAAAACTCATTTTCATATTTGCAGTTATAGCACTTGATAATTAACTTTGAGGCAAGTCCTTTTTTGTCTTGCATTTTTTCGGACAATGACAAGGATGAACATTCACCACATTGAGGACATGCTAAAGCACTAAATATGTCAGATAATATAGAGCAATCTATAATCCGGCGCTACTGCAGTTTCCCCCCTTCCCCCCTTCTTTTTTATTTCTGATTATGGTAGATAATTTTTTACTGATTAAGAATCGTATAAAAACATAGGTCTGAAAATCAACAGAAAGTGCTCTAATTTGATGTTGAAGTTTAAAAAATTACACTAAAAAATGCTAATATTTGCCATTTTTTTTATTCTCAGTTATATTAAAATTCTTTTCAAAGATGATTTTAAAAAAGCCTGGTTTCTATCAACAATTAAATGCAAAACCGTTAAAAAAAGCTCAGCGCATCATTTTCTGATTTATCCCTTGCCCAAACCCAAACCCTGTCCCAAATCATGTACGTTTAATCACACCAATCCCTATTTGTCAGTCGATGTATGTGCATTTAGTTGTGTCAATCCCTATTTGTCAGTTGATGTATGTACATTCAATTGCCCAATCCCTATTTTTCAGTCGATGAGTGTACATTTAATTGCGCCAATCCCTATTTTCCAGTTGGTTTATGTACATTTAAAAAGCAATATTTGAATTTATTTTTAAAAAAATAGTTAAAGTTGTATAAAATACATTCATTAAAACATTCAATTATAAATTAACTTTGGTGACAATAAAAACCGGGTCGCCTAATTAAGAAAAGATTTTCTTAACGATCGATTTCAAAATGTAAACTTTGATGTAAAACGTATTTAAAAAATGGCGAATATTAGCGTTTTTTAGTGTAATTTTTTAAACTTCAACATCAAATTAGAGCACTTTCAGACCTATGTTTTTATACGATTCTTAATCAGCATAAAATTCTCTATCATAATTAACAATAAAAAATAGGGGGGAGAAACTGCAGTAGCGCCCTATAATCCTATATCCAGATATTTTCATTCTTGTAAAAGCTCTGGAACATTCAATTGGCTTTACCTTTTTTCAGATACAGATGTAGAAAATAAATTTAACTCAGATTCGTTATTTACAGAGATATTATTGACAGTTGTATTATTTGAATCAGTCAAAATTGTTACAGCAGGGTTATCATTCAACCTTATTTCATTATTTTCTTTGACGAGACAGTTAAATTTCTTCCCTAAGAAACCTCTTCTCTTTTTTTTAATTATTGTTCTTGATTTTATTCTACAGGCTTTACTCATTTTTTAAAAAATATTAAAAAAGTTGACAACTTCAAAAGCTTCAGAATAACAGAAAACTGTAATTTAACTTGATGAACCAGACTATTTGCGCTAGCTGAATGAGTAAAGAAGCCAAACCAAAAATATACATTAGTTATTAGGATTTTTATTGAGGTGCTGCACCGTTGCTATGGGCGTTGTTAGGGTATAAATTTTGAGTTACTTTAAGAAAATACAAAATTTGAAGGCCTAAATGATAAAAATCAGTATATAAACAAATAATTTTTAATTCTGCATACATTTAAATGCATAAATAAGTAAAAATATTTTTTACAAATTTTGGGTAAAATTAGAGGGCGTTTCCCCCTTAATGGCCAGAAAATCTGACTGAAAAGCAGTTTTAAAAGATTACGCGGAGAATCTAACTACTATTGTAAAAAAGTTTAGGAAGCTAATTTCTAGAAGGAACTTGTTCACACTTAAGCCATTACTGCACATTTATGTCAGATTTTTTGCTAATAATCGTTGTCAAATATTTAGTCATACTTTCAAGTAAACGTTTTGCATCTAAAAATAAAACAAACTACAAAGTAAACATTTTGCGTCTAAATATGGAATATCATTTATTATAACACAATTTAAAACATAAAAAATAATTCAAAAAACTCTCTGATTTTCCATGATCTTTATTTAAATTAATCTTTTTTAATTGATTTCTCTGATTATATCTAAGTTTCCCTAATTTCCCTGATATTTTAGCTACACTGACCTTAATTGATGAGGTCAGTGTTGCCAAAAACAATGAGCATCAATTTTTTTTTGTATAAACATGGCATAGTACTGCTATGAAGTGCTAAATAAAAAACAAATCTAAAGATAAGCAACAATACTCTAAACTTATTTCATGCAATAAAATTTTAAATGCAATCACATATATTTTTGATATAAGATTGAAGTAAGCACACTCACACAGACACATATATTTTTAAATGATGCCCTACGTAAAGTATATGGCCTAATATTATGAATCTTTGCCAAAAAAATAGAAGACCATTCAAAAAAAAAAAAAAAAGCTTTAAATTCAAAACAAACAAACAAATAAGCTTTTATTCTTGCAACTACTTTTTGTTCAGCAAGAAATAAATTATTATCATACAAATTTTTATTTAATAAAAATTGATTTTTGACCAAAGAGTGTAGTATTCTTTATATACTTTGTTATTCCAGATTAATAAAAACATCTTATGTTGACTTAACATTTATATTTACTCTAAAAAAAGATAACACTATAAACAAACAATTATATCCACACAATTTTTATCAGTAATTACTTTTTTTTTAGTATTAAAGAATATATTAATAATATATAAAATATATTATTGTAATATATTACTGGTTTGATAGAAATTTATTTTCAGTATCAGATGCTCTAAACAAAGTAAGTTTTTATTAAGCAAAATAAATTCAAAACAAACCGAGCAGTTGTTCAGAATAACAAATCAGTATTGATAATAAATAAAAGTAAAATATAAAATTGAAAAAGGTTCGCAAATAAAAAATTGTCAATATATTGTTTATCTGCTAACATTTTTAAAACTGCTAAACCATTTTTAACCTTTTTGCTATAACGTATAACCTGCTATATGGATATGGAAGATGCCTCGTAAGATAACTTGTATAACCTGCGATATGGATATGGAAGATGCCTTCTCTACTAATTCTGACAGAGACATCTTCAAAGAGGATGACTGACTTTTGGTTAACCAAAAATTAATGCTCTCGTCTATTGATGCTGTCCAAACTTACTGAAACAATTATAATCGCAACTCAAAAGATCTTGAATTTAAAAAAACTATTTAATTACTGCAACTAAGTAGACAGATTTGTATTAAATTTTTATCCGCAATGTCATAGCTAATTAATGTTTAGGTTTTTATCATTTTGTTTAAATTTTCTTGGGTTAAACACTTAGTGAGGTTTTATATAAATCTGCTGTTAAAATAATTTTCTTTTCAACTGTAACAACATCTTTGAACTTAGTATACTCAAATGGTAGAATTCTGGATAGCTAATCACATTTTTAAGTAATCCAAAACTCCATAAAATAAACTTTTTTAAAGCCATCTTAATCTTCTGATAGCGATCTATTAAATCTTTAAAAATTACTTGTATGATTATAATTTTTTTATAACTTTTATGGTTTGTAACTCTTCATTGATATTAAATAAAAATACTGTCACTACATCTTGTTTTAAATTGTTTAATAAATAGCCATACATCTTGTTTTAAATTGTTTAATAAATAGCCAACAAGATCACATTATTATTCTTGTTCACATTATTATTCTTTGTTCAACAAGATCACATTATTATTCTTTGTTCTTTATTTACTTATTCTTTGTTTATTATATATAGTATAATATAATTTTTTATCATACATGTATAATGTATAATAGTTTTATGTTTAAAAATTATTAAACCATGTATATAAACAGTAATTCAATCATATCTAATATATATGATTGACTTACTGTTTATCAGGGGTGTGGAGTCGTAAAAAAAAAGTAACGACTCCGACACCAGTTGTTGAAATTTTTTAAGTACAACTCCGACTCCGACTCCAACTCCAAAGCAAAATTTTTAAAAAAATTCTTTGAGTTCTTTTAAAAATATTGCCCGGTAAGTTGAAATATTTTTTTTGACAAATTTATGAAACATTCATTGATGTTTAGTATATAACATAAGGTTAATTGAATGTTTTGTACATGTTTGTTACAATCGGAGTCGTAGTCGCGATATTTTTTAGCAACTCCGACTCCGGTAAAATTATCGCATTTCCACAACTCTGACCCCGACTCCGACTCCACAGCCCTGCTGTTTATACACATGGTTTAATAATTTTTAAACATAAAACTATTATACATTATACATGTATGATAAAAATTATATTATACTCGTATGATATTAAATTACATATTATACACGTATATTAAAAATGCACACTACTCAGTATTTTAATTTAGGCAAGCAACTTTAACTTTGGGCAAAACGCTTTCACTTAAGGCAAAACGCTTTCTCAATCGGGTCAATAATTTTCGCAAAAATTCAAACGTCGGAATAGGTTTTTGATTCTATCACCTACCAAGGAAATTCAAAAAGAGGTTCAAAACAACTGCAATCAGTCGAATCACTTGCAGCAGCTTTGCAACAAATGCTTTGTATCCAACATGTTGACACATAAAAAAGAAAAAATGTAGATGGGCTAAGATTCGAAGGGGAGTGTCTCAACAAACCTGAAATACTTGAAAACTTAAGAGATGCTGAGAGTAAAAAAACAGCAAAGCAAGCTAAAAAACAACATAAGCTTAGCTCTAATGGAGAACAGCAAATAAACCAAGCAACAAGTCCGACGAAAATATTAGCTGCAAACCAATTCAAGTGTAAAAATTGCCGAAATGTTTTGGGCGAAACTTCAGCAAGTTAAAATATGAAATGGTACCAGTGTGAAAATTGCTCTGTCAAACATGCATATCAAAGCGATACGTGAAAGGCGCTGAGTTTTATTACGCCAAAAAGTGCTGCACAAGTAAAACTCAACTCAACCTCTAGTACCTCTAAACGACTCAACATCATCACAAGAATAAAAAAGTTTATTTTATTTGATTGATTTTTTTACTGTTCTTATTGATTGTTTTTTTAATTATTATTATTGATTGCTTTTTTTTTTTTTAATTTAGTGTTGTTTTAATTACACTTATATTTGCGTATTTCATTCTCCCCGTATGTCAGTGTAATATGGAATAACTTTTTTTTTAATCAAATAAAGTTTCATAAAAAACTTTACAAAAAAATTGTTACATTTTTATGTATTTAAATACAGCTCAATACTCTCTACGACTTTAAAAAAAAAAAAAATCTTTTTTCCGTAAAAAAATAATAATTAAAATCCTTAACTATTCCATTTTACTGACCCTATTTTACTCTATATATTTTGATTAAATTGTCCTCAAATTCTTGCCGTTTCTTTATTTATTGCTCAGGAATAAAGTTTGTCATGTGTAATTAAAAAACGTGGTTGTTTTACTCGTAAAAAATATGTTTTACTCGTATAATTATATGTTTATTAGGAAGTTATGTTTGCAATATTTTAATTAAACTACTCGTCTGTTGTCAAAATTAAATTGTTATTGGGGTTTATATATAACACCAATTTTGGCAACAGACGAGTAGTTTAATTAAAATACTGCAAACATAACTTCCTAATCCAAAAGATATTTATAGAGCAAATAATTTAAGCAAAAAAATAATAATTTCCAAATAACCCTTTACTTTCCAAATAGCATCGTTTTACGGTATTTTCTTTAGGTTCCTGAAGAAAACCGCTTTACAAGAGAAAGTAATAATGATGCGGAATTATCAGTCTCGAAATTCTTTATAATGGAATCAAGTGTTTAAAATAGCTTCTTTACTTTTTTTAAATTGTCTTGAATTATCTTAAATTGTAAAAGATAACGAAGATCCATCCATATAAAACTTCTAGATTAGTAAGTTCAATTTTTTTAAAAAGAAAAAGAAGTATAGTTAATAAAGTAATACTTTGTCGAGCAAGTTTTCTAATATGTTTTGTTGTACTAATGCGTAAACAACTAGTGCTTTTTAGTGATAATTATAAGGTACAAAAAAATTGATTTAGATCTATAACACGTTATGGAGCCAGATCATAAACGGTCTGTTGATTTAAATTTTTATGGTTTGCCTGCTCGTGGAAGTTCTATGTTTACTATGGATTTATATTCAAATCCAATTGCAGACATAAGTCTAGTTAATAATCAACTAAATTTATTGTCACGAAAAGTAAAGAATAATAAGTTACAATATACTTTGACTCACCCAGCTCTTCCTATGATGGAACCTAGCAGCATAACAAATGTATGTATGGAAGATTTAATCAGCATTAAAAAAATATCTAAAGATGGAATTGCAAAATGGAAACTAATACCTCAAGCAAAAAAACAAGTCAGGTTTTTTCTAGATAATTATTCAAAATATGCTCATGAAAGTCTCAAAAATTTTGATAAAGCTAGTGGTCATAAAATCAAGGAACAAATTTTTCCACTTGTAATTGGATATAGTAAATTTATTGCTTCCTCAAAATTATCAAAGACATTTTCAGATGTTGTTCCAGAAGTTTATGACATTCCAGAATCACTATTACTTGAGTATTTGGAAAATAGCTTGTTTCAGGAATATGACAATTTAAATGAAAACTTTAGTTTAAAAAACAGCATAGCAAGTTGGTCTTGCTTTGAAAGACTTTATTTATTTTTTCCTAGAGGCTTTGCTTTTAACTTGCTTTCTGTAAACATTGTTAATAACAAAACAGTTAAAAGTAAGCCAGAAGAAAATTCATGTTTTAAATATGTTAATCTAAGTAATTTACTTAACATTGAAATTAACTTTGAGATAAAAGAAGTTTTTGTTGAGTCCAATTTTTTATATGTTCGTGGTAATTACCAATGTGTTCAATTTTCTTTAGTAAGTTTTATATATTTTTTTCAATAATCTATAAATCAAACAATTATGTTATTAAAATGGTTATAGAGTTTGGAATATAACAAAAAAAGAAATAATAAAGTAGGCTCTATACCTTTAATAATATTGAGTTGTAAAAAATAATTTTTTTTTCAGTTTGAGTTTTTTTTTTAAATTTGCACATTTGCAGAAAATCTTTTTCTATATTTAACATATTTAACACAAAAAGCAATAAAACTTGTTCAGACTTTAAAAAGTTAGTGAAAATAATGAAATTAAATAATAATAATAATTATATAGCAATAATGATATTTATAAAAGTTGTAATACATATAAAGAAATATATAAAAATAGTTGTATATAAAAAGAATGATAATAATATATTAAGTAAAGGCATTCTGACCTTTTAAATATTTGTAAAATAGGTGGTTTTAGAGGTGCTTATTTTTTTATTGGTCAAGTGATAACTTTTGGTTTTTTCCATAATCTAATGATTACATGCACTAGTCAAATGTGACATCAAATTCTACAGCACCTAAATATTTATTTTAGTATTAATGTTTTTTTTTTTTTTGTTTTTTTTTTTGTCATGATTAAAAGAGTTAATAGAGTTCATAACAAAAAGTTAACAGAATTCGTAACAAAAAATTAACTAGTTGTCTTTTTATTTTTAAGGAATCACTGTATAACGAGCAGTTACTTAAAGAAATACGGCGGTTTAAGTTTGACACATCAGTACAGAGTGTTGCTGTAAACCCTCTAAATCCTGGCGAAATCTTTGTCACTAATCCTGTTTCAGTTTGTTTAGTTTTAGGTTTCACTTTATAATGACTTTTAAACCTGACTGTCTTGTTTAGTTTTACTTTATTCAATTTGAACAATACTTTTAAAAAGCATTTTTTGCTCATTTGTTTCTAGAAGATGGCAATAAACAGAAATCAACCCAGTTTCCTTTAGCTGATGAAATTGAGAGAAGTTGGTACAATTGTATATATGGTTCATTTCGTCAGACATGTATTGTTACTTGTCAAGATGAAGTTAGATGGCATGACTTTAGGGTATGATAATTATAAAAACTACTTAGAACGTATTTTTATTTTGTTTTAAAAACTTTTGAAATATTAACTAATATAACTAAAGAAAGCATTAACTTTAATAAATAGTATTAACATTTATAACTTGTAACAATAATTAAAAGCATGTATAACATTTACTTTTTTGCTTTGCAAATAATTTAAATCTTTTTGTTTAGATACCATTTCCATCAAGCAAATTATATTTTTCTACTCCTTGTCAATACCTTAATCGTACAGAAAAGTTTTCACAAGTACTTTTATGGAATCCTATTAATAAATATCAATTTTTTATAACAACAGATCAATCAGTTATGCTTTTGGATGAGCGTTATGTGAAAACTCCAGCATTAAAAGTTAATCACTATATGAATTCTGCTCCACGATTTGGACAGGCTCTCCCTAGAAGTATATATTCCCACAATGACAGTGTTTTACTTAATGTGTCAAGCTATTTAAATGCTGAAAACATTAGCATGCAATTCTGTAGCAATGGAAAACAAAATTTTCCTGTTGGAGATTCAAGTCTTGAAGCTAATTGTCCTCTGACATTACTTAATGAGCCTTGGAAGGTATGTTTTTTGGTAACAAGTTTTATATTAAATATTTCTTGCATGATATTTTTTTTTTATTGTTTTTTTTTGGTACTAAATGAATTTGTATAAGATAAATTTTTTTGAAGTACAAAAAGCTTTTGCTTTATTAGATATTCTTTATAGTTTTCAAGCTACAATGAATGGATGCCATACACTTCTCATTGGAAATTATCAAACGACTTTGTTAAGGCAAAAATGAAACAGCCTTTGATTGGTTCTTGTATTTGTGTTTTAGAAAAAAATAATAAAAAAGACAAATTCATTAATGTTCAGCTAACATTAGCTGGAGACTTGTTTTATCAAAATTTTAGTTGTACCAATTATAACAGTGTCAATGAAGAGGTTGAAGTTGATTTCATTAAAAATGAATTTCTTTACTCTCTTGTTGATAACAATGTTATGCAACTCAATGATACCTGTAATGAAATTTGCCAAAACTGGCTTGATAAATGTCCCATTAAAGAAAATGTTTTTTGCAAAGCTAAGGTAAGTAATTCAGAAAACGAAATAATGAATACTAGTGATAATCAAGAGTTAGATATTAAAAGGGAACTTTTTGAGCCAATTAAAGATTTATCAGACGATGATGATTTAAACAGTTTTAATTACCTTAAATCTATTCGTAACGAAAACAAGATTTTGACTAACCGCTCTTTGAAGAGACAAATGAGCCATAGACATACTACTTTTGTAAAAAATCCTGAGATGTTTAATTACCCACTTAGTTCTACATTGTATAACAATTGGATAAATGACAATTATACACCACTTGAAGTTTATGCACCTAATCTTGCCCTAGATAGTTCTCTTAATTTTGTCTAGATTTGTATTTTTGTTTTATTACTAACAGGTGTTCTGAAACAATGTATATAATTTTTTTTTTTTTTTAGTTTTTGTTTATTTTTTTATTTATTCATTAATTTTTTTTTATTATTTTTTTTAATTTTTTGTTTATTTTATTTTTTGTTTTATTTATTATTATTATTTTATATTTATTATTTTATTTTTATTATTATTTTTTTAATTATTTTTCTATTATTATTTTTATTATTATCTATTATTGTTATTATTTAAACATTTAAACAATCTTTGTGGGCTAACCCGTTTATCTAATGAAATTTGAATGAATTTGGGAGTATTTCAGAGAAGTTATCTAAATGAATTTCAGGAGAAAAATATCACAAGGTTCCTGCAGTTCATACAGTTCCTGTTCATACAGTTTCACTTATTTTTAATAACATACTGTTTCACTTATTATAATTAATGTTTTTTTCAATTAAGTGATTTTGACTAGGACTGGAGCCATGTTTAATAAATTAAAGCTGGGGCTAATTAAATGTAATTAGTTTTTTAAATAAGAAATAAATGTGAAAGTTTTGGTACTATTGGAGAAGTAAAACTTTTTTCAATACTTATAATCTTACTTATTTTCTCTGATTAATTCCCCCATCATGTTGTCTGTACTCTTTCCGAGTTTTAATTAAAAATTAAAATAAATTTTTTATTATTTATTTTACACTTCAACTTTGATTTTTCGAAAATAAAAAAAAAATAAAATTACTAGCGGCATTGATTAAATAAAGACTGCAGAGTCTTTGACATTTATTAGGAGAGCATTATCTGTAATTTAATTTAGGGGCCATCCATAAAGTACGTACGCAGTAAAACCACTGATTTAGGACCCCCCCCCCCTCCCCCCTTGTACGCACTTGTATGCTTTCAACGACCTCCCCCCCCCCCCCCTTCTGCGTACGTACGCATTTTTTATTACAAGTTCAGGCTCTCCTCCCCTTCCTTCCCCAACGCATTAATTTTTCAAAACATTAAACACAAAAAAACATTTTGTTAATTTCTCTGTGCTTAATTAAAAACCGGAAAGTTATTTGTTAATAACTTTCCAGTTTTTGTTAAAGAAAGAAAAATATTCTAAAAAAGAATTCTTGTTGCGAGTATTTATATTTCATATTTCCTCAAATGGTGACTTAAATAAATCAAATATGTTATCAAATACAGGCATGAACTCTGCTTCCACACTTTTATAATCAATCTCCTCACTGATATCTTCACTTTTATTAATAGATTCACTGTCACTTACACTATCCTCACTCTCCATTTCAACCGTGTTTTTTTTTTGTGTATGTGTTTTCTTGTGCCGTTTCATTGCAGCCTCGCTTGGCCAGTATTTATTGCACTTGTCGCAAATTCCGTTTGAGAGCTTTTCCTTTAACGATGGCAATACAGATCAAATGGTATAATTTTGTATTTTAATCCTTCTATAGATATATCATGTAGTAAAAGTCGATGTGTCAGTGGTGCAAACGTTGATTGTTTTGATACGTTTTTAAAATATCGAGACGGTTCCATTGCTTTGTAACCATTCTCGCAGTATTCGTAGATTGCCGGAAATGGAATGAAACGTTGGGGGAAGTTTTTCAGCCAGTTTGTTTCAAACGGTGTGCAACATGACTCCTCTTGGCATTTTACGATTTGTAGGCTGTATCGCGATTGCTGACAATGTTTGTCTACCCAAACAGGATCTGGAATTGGTGGTTCATATGCTTTCCCAACTGGTACAGCCTGGCAATGAACAGGATACCCGTCAATGACGGTTTGCTCCCAAACTTGGGATAAAACGTCAGCCGCTTTTTGAAAGTTCTCTACCTCCAATTCATAGTCGATTGTTTTTCCAGAAGAATCAAGGTGATTGCCAAAAAAATCATGAGGAAGGACTATTCCAGCCAAATCACGAGAAAGAGGTGCCATTCTTCGTTCTACGGGGTTAAAGGCTGAAAGGCCAGCTGCATTCACACCATGAAGAAGGGCATCTAAATTAAGCAAGCGAAAGAGGTCAACAGCAGTTGCTAAGGTTTTAGGGAAACGTGGTGCTTCATCCTGAGCTCCATCAGTCTCCATTAACATAATTGGTCTGCGTTTAACCAACTCGGTTTTAAAAAAGCTCTCTAACATCAAAAGCATGTGTAAAAGCATTTGATGTATCGTGTTTCGCACTTCTTATGCGTATGAAAGTGTCCCCACTGTATGATACATTTCCAGTATTGTTAACTTCGCATACGCCATACACTGATGGGATCAATTTGTGCTGTGAGCTAACGACAAAATCGTGATCCATGAGTTTGACCTTGTATTCCATATGCATCAGCAACGGCGCTTGAAGGCTTGCTGCAGCAATACCCAATGGGACCCTGGCTTTATCATCGTTGGAAATGAAAAGCACAGCTTTTGGTCCAAACAATTTGCAAACTTCGAACATGTCGTCAATGAATGATTTGGCAAACATTCTATCGTCATTTTTTTTTCGCATTGAGTTTTCTGGACGTAACAGCTTTACTGGAACTGTGCTGACATGTTTTTTTCCTTCAGAAGTGTTTCCACGTCGTGGTAAAAGACGAAGTTACAAACCACTCCTACTCAAGGTAAAGCCTATCTTTGTCAACTCTTCCTAAAGGTCATCTAAAGTGGAGACGCTACGGAGACATTCTGTTCTTCGACGTTCGTCAGCTGCTGATAAATTTTGCACAATTTTTATAACTGTTGATAAAAGCTCTGGTTGGTCAACTTCGAGACGCGGTCGTCCAGTATGGTTTCGACTAAACTGTTTCAAAGCACTTGATGCTTCAGGGGTGTTCTGACACACAGTTTCGATGCTCTCTTTAAGTTTTTGTCTTCGTTTTCTTTGACGAGCTGATTCACGAATCAATCTGAAAACGAAATATCAGTAAAGCTTTGATTCCGTTATAAAAACTTCTATACTTAAGGTTTCGCAACTTTTGGCTAATGTTGCAAAAGAAAAAGTACGCAAATTCTTATTTCAAATAAGAAAGTATTATTTACAATAAGATTATGAAAGTTTCTGTCTTTGAAAATGTTTGGCTTTTATAGCCAAGACGCTTTTCTATACGCATAAATAAACTCTGTATTATTTAACATATATCTCTTGATATTTACTAGAAACCTGACAGTTAAGCATTCTAAAATGAAATATCAAATAAAGAAATACATAACTAAATTATCTTACCTGTCCAATTTTGTTTTTTCTTTTCTTATGGTTTCTTTAACAGTGTTTATTTGTTCCTTTGTTACGGTAGATAAACCAGAATCACGTACGACTATCAAGGATGCACGTTGTGATTCAAGATCTGAGATTTTCTTTCGACTCCTAACTTGTGCCGGATTTTCTCTTTCTTTTTTTTTGTCTGTTAAATCTAAATTAAAAAATGCCAAAAAATAAGCTATTATAAATTCTTGACAATTACTACTAATCAATTTATTTTGGATATAGAAAAATAGGTCTAGTGGTCAACATTATAAATTTCTGTGACTGCTCTAAGGTCGTACGATGTAGTTTGATTTACAATGCGGTTAAACTCAGTAGGCCGGGTGAATAAAAAAGAGCAATTGCTTTTACTCAGTAATTGTTCAGTTTTACGTGAATAAAAAATTGAGCAATTATCCTCAAATTTCTATTTACGTAAAGTTGAGCGTTGTTGGAGTAAATTGTTCAGCTTTACGTGAATAAAAATTTGAGCAATCTTCGTCAAATTTTTATTCACGCAAAGCTGAACAGTTACTGAGAAAAAGCAATTGCTCTTTTTTATTCACCCGGCCTAATGTATAGAAAATCACAAGAGAGAAAAAGTTTTTAAAATATTACAGAAATTAGCTTACTAATTTCAATCCTTGCAGGCTCTGTCGTAGTTGCATTTAGGAAACTTCGTGTTTCATTTGACGAAGACGGCGCTGGATGGATATCTTTTTTCTTTTTGCTAGGTGGTGAAATGGTATTTCCCCAGAATGACATAAGTGATACTTTCGACTTTGTTACTTTCTCTTTTAACTCATTTATTTTTTTTTCATACAAGGATTCATTGTTTTTTACTATTTTCCACAACTCTTGTGCTTGCTGATACTGCTTTTGTTTTTCAAGTGTTGAATATGCTTTTTTATATAACTCAAGGAATTGAAGGTATTTTTTCTCGTTTCCGCGCGGCATCTTGGTCATAATAAATAATAAGTTTTTTTTCCAATGAGGCGTATTGAGTTTTCGAATAGAATCATAAAAGTCTTTTTTGTTTTAGTTTACTCAAGATAATTGCCGTTACATTGCATCATAAAAAGTGTTGGTTTCCATCAGCATTTAAAGTAACTATTTTTTACAATTATCACAATGATTGTCATATGCATTGTCACATGTATGTTCATTTCGCTTCGCCTGTCCTTAGCAATCTTAATGTATGTTAATATTAACTTTAATGATAAAAAAAATAATAATATTACCTTTTTTTATTTTATTGTTTTTTAAAAACAAAATATTAACCTTTTAAGAGAAATGGAAAAAACCAGGTTCGTAATTAAAAAAAGAATTCAGAAGAAGTTTTCTTTGATTACAGTTTTGTTACTTTTCATCTTGCTACAGTCGAATTATGTTGCAAAAAATGGAAAACATTATTTTTAGTAATATACTTAAATGATTGGTCATAAATTATTAATTTATGACAAATCATTTAAGTATATTACTAAAAATCTAAAACTAAATAAAAACTACTAATTCAATTGACATATTTTTAAAAGGAAAATTCTTGTTCTTTAGTTCTTCATCGCATTGATTTTTTAAAAAAAGTTTCATGTTTTTGAAGATAAAAAAACTGAAAAAGTTCCATATTTATGAGTTAAGCTCATTTTTAAATTTTAATTTAAATCAAATTTTTATTTTTGTAAAGGAATGAAATTTTTCATAATTTTTATGTTTTAAAAATTAAAAAAACACAAGAAAAATTTAAAAAAACAGCATGGTTACAGGCTAGTTATTTAATTTTTTTAATTCTTGAAATAGACATTTTAGAAAGAAAG